GTGCTGATCTTTTTGGATATGCAGCAGACATCAGCAGACCTTGTAGGTTCTATTGTGGAATATCATCAGAATACTCTAGATCATTGCAATCATTGCAGTCATTGGTGACTGCCAACATTTTTGAAACAAGTGCAGCTTCTCCGCAGATCTTTGCAGATCTTTGCAGATCGTTGCAGACTCCATTCATCCGGTCTAACTTGGGCAGGTTCTGCAGCAGCGCATTCGCTTTGGACTAAACAAATTGGCTGAAGAGGAGAGCGATGGAGAGCGATGGAGAGACTGCGCAGTTTTTGTTTCCTAATTTGAATCCGAACACTGGGAGGAGAAGAAGCCTCTATGGAAGCTGATTGTTGCTCAATTCGAGGATTTGCTTCTTGGATCTTCACAGCGAGTGCCTGCCATTCACCGATCACCGTGCCATTCACGCCATTCACAGTAGAGGGCTGCGCTGAGCCGCTGCGCTGAGCTCAGGTTGGTTCGGATCTTGCTGCTATCAGCCGTGGTGTCCTTTTTCTTGGCATACATCGATGGAACCAGTGAGGCCATGTAAACCATTGATAAACATTGAAACACATATAATTACACTAGAAACCTGCCAACACATTCCCATGTGAAGCCCATGGATCCCAGATGATCACATTGATGATCACCGATCTGCAAATTCTCTGTTTTGCCATGTTTTGCCTTTTGTCCATCGAGAGTGTGACCGCCAGGAAGGCATCACAGCCTTTGTAGAGCCGTGCCTTGTCGAAGCCATGATAGCTTTGTGCTGATTCAAGGCATATGTACATGTGCGCCTGTCAAAGTCCGGTTGCGCACCATTTACTGTAGTATCATGTAGTATCTACTTAGTTGAGTTCATGCAGTAGAGTGGGAGAAGGCGGGCTGTATTTTATGTATTGCATAGATTGGTATATATATATAGTGTGTGTGTGTGTGGAAGTGCCGTGAAATGCGTGTGTACCGTCGGGCAGTCATTGTGATTGAGGTTGGTGATTCTCTTGATCCTCATTGCCAATGCCATTGTTGGCGTGTGGCAAGAAACCAACGCAGAAAAAGCCTTGGTGGCGCTCAAGAGGCAAAGCAAAAACACGCAAAAAAACTCAACGTGGGTGTGGGCATGACATGGGCCCAAACGTGGTTATGCCACAATGTCCAAGACTGGTGTCGACCAAAACTGTCTTTGCTGTCATATGTTGGTGCAATGATGGCGTTTGGGTCCTGCTGATTTTTAGACTCTTGGTAACCTTAAAATGCAAAGGCAAGGAAGATCCACGGATCCACTGTTCGGCTTCGGATTTGGTGGGCATCAATCAAGCATGTTCAGGGTGCGTCAGCCGCGTTCTCTATCAGACTCCATCATTCTCTTGTTCTGTTTTTTGTTCTACCGTAGAAAAAAACGATGTTTAAACTATGTTTTACCCGGTAGCCGATCCTTAGCGTTTTCTGATTGAAACTGCCTCCATCGGCAGGTTGCAACCTGACAGCGCCCTCGTGTTGCGAGAAGGTCGTTGGCAGCAGCTGAATGCTGAAGACCTGGTCCCCGGAGATTTGGTGCAGGTGCAGCGACCCTTCTATGGACGCAAGACATTGGATCATGTTGGCTGAAATCATCTGAAATATTTTAGATAAATAATTGGGGTTGACCGCAGGATCGATGATGTCATATTGCATGTCCGCACAGTCGTCCCGACTTACTGCGTGCGAATGAAAAAAAAATAATTAATTAAACTGAACCTCAGCTTGGCTACTGCATGCTACTGCATGCTACTGCATGCTACTGCAGGTATTGGGTAGCTGGCTGCTGCTATATTTCATTTTCTGTTTCGGACTTGTTTCATTTGATTTCAATGAAATCTTGTCTCATTTCAGGGCTGATCTCAATTTCCTTTGAAGCCCTATTGCAGGTGAAGGTGGGGGACAAAGTTCCCGCAGATATGCGCCTGGTGGAGTTGCATTCCTCCATGATCCGGGTTGAACAGCCTCTTGGCAAAAAATTAAACCAGAAAAAGAAAACATAGGACCTCTAGGAAGCACAGAGGCAGCCCCCAACTATCACGAAACTAGAGAATTTCTCAAAACCCCTCCTGCAATCTC